TACATACACATGTGTATTTATAAAGAGACAAAGAGAAATGAAGTGTGAGAAAGTATCGTAAGAAGCACACGTTTAATTACAAACCTTATTTCCTTAATTCACAAACAGAAGAAAACAAAAGGAACCACATTATGTATTATATATAATAATTTACAAACCTGTTCTTTCTCTAGAATTTGTTTGGCATCCTGAAGTAATTTTTCTTTTGCCTCTGTTTCAGCAAGAGTAGCTCTATTTTGCTCTTCATATGCCATAGTTACTACAGCCAAGATCAGATTGAAGAGATAAAATGAGCATAAAAAGATGACCCCCAGAAAAAATAAAATGTAGTTCTTTCCAGATGTACGGATGGTCTGTAAGGAAAAGGTAAAAGTTGTAATAAACACTTAACAAACTAAAATTTACAATAGCATTTCAAACTAACTTTAAACAATTTCTTTTCCTATACAATACAAAAGGTCAATATACTGCTCTATTTTCTTTAAACAACAGTAGAATCTAACCTCTGGTCTAAGTTATACAGAAGATCTAGAAATACATCCAGTCAGAAGTTCCCCTGGCCTTCAGATAAATACATTTCAGCTCTTAAAAAACTTCTCTGTGATCATACAATGTTTTCTCTTTATGTAACAGCCCATCAAACATTCATACTGATGCCATGTACTGCAGAGAAGAATTAACAAAATCCATTCTTAAAATTAAACATCTCCCAGCAAACTGGGCAAATGATCATCAGAGTTCAAGTGATGAGAAGACAACTTCAGCTGTAAAGAGATATACAGGTGACTACAGAAGAAATTCATAAAACTCAGTAACAAAGTTGAAAGCTAGGATTATCTAAACAAGCAAAGATGTTACAATTAGTGAAACAGAGGCAGTATTTAGACTGGTTGCTTATTCTTACATTTTTTTAAATGGCAGCAGAGAAGATGGCTCAAAATTAAGCTCTGAGACATTAAAAACTAAAAACCACGTGATCTCGAAATGGTAAAAAGTTGTATCCATTTTTTAAAAAATTCAGTTAATAAAGGTTGCTGGAAAAAAGTTAAAGTGGGCTATATGAAAGTTATAGAAAAAGGCAGAGGATAATTCCCTTCTAGCAAAGGCACTGCATAAATGTAAGGGATCCAGAGATTTCTCTACATGCAATTTTTGTATTGTTTTTGTCAAAAGTCACATTGAACTCTCTGAATCAAAACATAAAGGCGCCATTTTTTTTAGTACCAGTTGTCAAAAATGATCTGAAATTAAACTGTGTATGTTGAGCCAAAAAGGTTGGTGAGGAATCAGGACTTAAAGGGAAGAGAAACAGAGTGTGTAACAAATTCTCATCCCCCTGTGGCAGCAGTGAGTGCCAGATCTACTATATACCCCAATCCTTTGGTAGTTACATATTAATATTTAACTGTTAATCACTGACCCAAGTGTGTTCTCCAACAAAACTACGAGCATTCACAGCAGGATTGCTCCCATCCAATGTCACTTGCAGATGGTGTTAAAACTTGATTACTTGAAGCTACTTCCTTAATATCTACTTTGATTTTAAAAGAAATTTGGTATCAGTAATGTTAAAACTGGTGCAGATTTTTCTAGTGGATGTAAAGTTATAAACTGCATGCCTTAAGCCATTCTAGCAGGTAATAAAAGCACCTACTTGTCTGTAGAGACGTTCCCAGTAATCCTGTGTCATCAGACGGAATAAAGAAAGGAAGGCCCAGCCAAAATGATCAAAACTTGTATAACCAAAATCAGGATTCTTCCCAACCTTCTTGCAGGTATAGTTTTCCGGGCACTCTTTTCTAACCACAAAAGAAATGTTAAACAATACTTAATTGCAGTATTAGATTGTACCTGAAAGTATCCAGTACACATCAAATATAGATCCTAGAAAGCCATTTGTCTACTTTCTGACTAGACAGAAACTCTCCATTGATGTAGGATGCACTCAAATACATAGAGAGGGGAAAAAATGGAAATAAGTTTACTTTTAAATAACTCACCAAAATAGAGAGTTTATAAATATCTCACAACTCTTTACTGATCTGTTCCCTCCTCTTTTATATCATTCTACACTACCATTATATTACCAGGGGTTAGCAACAAAGCACATACATAATTGCTTACATCCTAGTACTTTATTCCTTGTCTGATGTGAAATATCTGGTTTTTAATTTAATAAAACACACAAGCACATTCCACCCTTCTGGAAAATCATCACCATTTCTTTAGGCCAAAAATAAACCCACCGTACATCTGGAGGAAAAAATAAGAAAGTATTAAAACTGTTTTGTTCACTTACTCAGGATATGAACTGAACCCACAGAGCAATATTTCAGAAGATTTATTCATTCTGTAGCAGATATCTAATAAAAGAACATATCAAGGAATCATAAAATCAGAAGTTGTCGGTTCCTATATCACTCTGACAGTAAACCATACATTACTGCACTTTAAAAAACAGCCTGATGGACCAAATCTCCGGGAAAGACTCTTTTCACAGTAAGGGGCATATAGGGCTGTTTCTCAGCAGATCTGTCCCGATGGCAATTTTAAAAAGATAAAAATTATTAACTGCATAACTCACAGTGTAAGATTTTTATTTGATCTCTGGTAAAAATAAGAATCTCTGCAAGAAGCAGGCAAAATCCCTGAACAATCTAGCTTAAGTGATGAAAAAAATCATTGCCTCTGCAGTACCCCTAAAATTAGGATGCCTGTGCAACATGCATAGGTAAAGAAGCAAATGCTTATAGAAAACTCAATCCCTTCTATCCCACAGATTGCTAATCTTTCTACAAATCCCACATTCACTAACCTCACATTCAGTTGTCCCAGAGACTTTGTATTACGACTTGTACAAATGGAAGGACATACCTTCTGGTGATAAATATGTGCAACTATACTTTAACATCTCTGTGAAAAAACAAGACATACATAGGAAGATACACAGATTATGTAAAGGGAGAAAAGAATAAAATTTACCTGGATCATTTGGTACATATATCTTGGCATCTTTACATAATGAGTCATTGTATGTAGTATTACTGAGGACACATTTGGATGTTAAATTGCCCATAAAAAGCTGGAGGCCTATCAGAGCAAATATACTCAAGCAAAAAACAGTCAAGATCAACACATCAGTAAGTTTCTTAACAGATTCAATAAGTGAATTTACGATGACTTTCAGACCTAGAAAAATAAGATTCAATAATATGCAAAATGAGAAGAGGAATGCAGTAGTGTTCCCATATGACAACACACAACAGTTGCAAGTATGTTAAAAACAATCAGTGTAAATGAATTTTTAACTTCAGAGTATTAAATGAGGTAAAATAAAGCATAGGAATGAGTAAAGTATTTTTACTTAAATTTCCTAATCATAACTTATTTGGCTTTTACTTCCCTCTAATACTAATTTTGCGAACTTGAAAATTCTAAATTAAGATGCCATCTAAGCAAACTCTTAGGAGCTTTAATGAATGTGGACAGATTTCTGGGCTTGATTAGCATTAACCAAGTACTTCACATTGTGCCAAATACACATTACAATAAAGGATAGCTTCTGCTGACCTCAGGGAAATCTGTCTTAGAAGATAATGCCTTACAGATGTCACCAGTTTAAAAGCAAAAGAACATTTATGACACTGGGAAGGGAACAAATATATGTCGGGGACCACCCAGCTGGAAAGTAGCTTGGCTAAAAAGGACCTGGGGGTTCTGGTGGACACCAAGTTGATTACGAGCAGCAATGTGCCCTTGGAACAAAGAAGGTGACTTGTATCCTGGGCTGCATAAGGCAAAGCATTGTCAGCAGGTTGAGGGAGGTGATCCTTCCTCTGCTCAGCAGTGGTGGGGTCACACCTGGAGTCCTGTGTCCAGTTCTGGGCTCCCCAGCACAAGAGACACATGGACGTACTGGAGGGAATCCAGCAAAGGGCCACAAAGATGATGAAGGGACTGGAGCACCTCTTCCATGAGGAAAGGCTGAGAGAGCGGGGACTGTGCGTAAATACCTGAAGGGAGAGTGCAAAAAGGCAGAGCCAGGCTCTTTTCAGAGGTGGCCAGTAGCAGGACCAGAGGCCATGGGCACAAACTCAATCACAGGAGGTTCCCTCTGAACATCTGGAAACACTTTGCTACTGTGAGAGTGACTGAGCACTGGCACAGGTTGCCCAGGGAGGTTGTGGAGTCTCCATCCTTGGAGATATTCAAAAGCTGTCTGGACACGGTCCTGGGTAACTGGCTCTAGGTGTCCCTGCTTGAGCAGGGGGGCTGGACCAGAAGAGCTCCAGAGGTCCCAGCCAACCTCAACCATTCTGTGATTCTGTGACAATGGGTTATATATAAACTGAAGACCAATATTCTTGCAGAATAACTGAATTTGAAATATAACATAGGCAGAGAGTGATATCCAGGATTTTTCTAGAAGTCTTTCATAAGAAAAAAGTAAAGTTACAGTTAATCTCTGTTCTCCATGGTGAATAGGGAAGGAAAAGTATTGGGGGGTGGTGGTGTTGACACTAAAAATTAAACACATCCTATGTTTAATTCCTGTTATAATTTAATAGCAAAATCAAAAATATATTTGTAATTACATAGAAATGGTGAAGTTAATATATATTATGACAATGGGATATATAGTCATTTATAGATTTTCAAATGAGTTTTTGCAGTTAGATTTTGAAATCCATATTTGGTATCCTAATTAGTAGTACCATGTACAAAAATATCAAATATCTGGACAGTTTAAGCAAAAATACTGTTGATGAAAGTTTTATGCTCAAGCCAGATAGTGGCTGTGGTCAGTAAACAAACAAAAGAAACTCTGAAATACCATGAAGTCAGCATTCTGGGAAATAAACCATAGAAGATTAAGCTAATGAAGTACAATGTGAAACCAGGATTATTGTGGTACAGCCATCATTATGTTCAGATGACATATTGAATAGAGTGTGCTGCTCAGGAAAGACAAAAGTAAAAAGACAAAGGCACTGGACTAAGTAAAATTGAACATTAGTGATGGGATAGAAAAAGCATAAAGTAAAAAAAATTGCCCACATCAAAATAATTTTGAGGAGAGATGATAAAAAATAGTCTGTAAGGATGCTGGTGAGAGTTACTACAGGCTGAAAAACAATCACAACTTGGGATCCCATTAACTGTCACAAAAAGTGACCTGATACTAAAGACAGGAACATGAGAGGAATTAGAAATAACATACTGCTGAAGCGGAGAGAAAATTAGTAAGATATGTTGTTCCTTACCTGGTATTACAGAAATAGCTTTCAAAGTCCTCAGTACTCTGAAAGTTCGAAGAGCTGAAACCTTGCCTGCACTTTTACACATAGTAACATACCTATAAAATTAAACCACCATATAGCTGAATGACAAAGATCTAGCTTTTCAGAACATATGCATATTGAGCACACAGTAATGAATAAGTTACAAAAAATAAGTAGGTCAAATATGTCCTAAGGTAGATGTCTAAAGTTAGGAATCTAAGTTTATTTCTAGGTATTGATATAAAATAATGAGACTTTAGAATAGTGCCTCTGAAAAGAAACACAGCAAGCTTTTACTTAGTGTGGATGCTTAACTTTTGAAGTGATTATCCATCAAAATGTCAAATAAATATAAAACCTTCAATGTCATAACCACACCCTCTCATACTAGGTTATGTATGCCATTCCAATTAGATATTTGGGAGAAAAAAGTCCCATAATGTGGTTGGAATGGGTTGCTCAGAGAGGCTGTTCAATCTCCATCCTTAGAGAAACTCAGAACTCGACTGGCCAAAGTTCTGAGCAACCTAATCTAAATTAGCCCTGCTTGTAGCATGGAGCTGGACCACATGATCTCCAGAGGTCCCTTCCAATCTAAATTGCTTTACACCTCTAATAAATTAGAACAAGATAACTGAAAACTATTCAGAAATGCTAAATGACAGAGATTTGCTTTGAAAGCTCAGACTGAGTACAAGTGAATCTGTTCACTGCTGCAAGTAAGACTATTTTGCTTTCAAGATTAAGATTCTGCATTTGAAATGCAAAATCTGACTTGGTTTCTTCCTCATTTCTCATCCACCTAGCTAGTTGGTTTTGACAGGAATTTAAAATTGACCACAGCGGTGATCTATCTGGTCTATTACCCTGTCTTCCAGAATGACCCATAACAGATGTTTACAGGGGAGTTTAGAATCAAGACAGTGATTCCCAGATTTAATTCTTCCAGCAATTAGATAGCTCAGGGACTTCCTGAACAAAACATAGTATCTTTGTATTAAAAATAACTCGTAACATATTTTCATCCAGGATTTTGTCCAGAAGCCTTCTGAATGCAATGAAGTTTTTTTGCATCCACAACCTCCTATGGGAATATGCCTACATGTAGCGTGAAAAGCTACTCCCTTCTTTTTTATTCTGCCATCTGACAACTTCATTTGGTGCCTTCAGCTCTTGTCGTAGGAGAAATAAATAAATTATTTATTCTCTTTTTGGCTCTGTGCCACAGACTTCAACCATGTTCCTGCTCTGTATTTTTTTCCATGAAAGTTCTGCTTTATTTAGTTTCTTATTGTGTAGAATACAAAATATACATCTTCTCTGTATCTTTTTTAATTCAGTTATCTTTTGAGATGTCAGGATCAAAACCATGTATCATCCTGAAGAAAAACACAGGCCAGACAGTGATATAACTACGTGTTCTGTTCCTTTCTTACCTATAATGACCTAATTCTCTATTTTCTTCTCTGACCATGATTGCACACTGGAGGGGTGTTTTCACAAGATTGTCTGTTTAACTCCAACATCATCTTTCCAACAAGTGAAAGCTATTTCAGAGCCCATAAGTGTGTATCTAAAGCTAGGTCTGTTTTCCCTTGAGCATCACTTTACATTCTTGGGATTTCATCTGCTTTATTACCATGTCATTCAACACCTTGTGACCCACTTTGGATCCTTCTCAAATGAGCTTCATCTGATCCAGAGTACAACTAAGACTTACAAAGAGGCATGCTTGGTTTTGGCTGTTTATGTAATCTCCTCTTAACAAAAATTTAAATACGTACTAAATTGAGAACAATCAAACAATTCTAAGATGAGCTTTGCATTTAGGTCTTGCTTTAAGGTATGACTATTCTTCTCTTTGCAGATAGGCAAAGGGCGATTGATTCAACCACGGTAACTCTTAATCAGGTAGGATGCCAACCACTCTAAAGAACTCCAGCAGTACCAAATAGCGTTTTACGTGTGTTTGTCCCTTGAGTGTAAAAGAACAACTGAGCTTTACTTACGTTATGACAATAACAAGAAGATCCAAGCAGTTCCATGGATCTCGAAGAAAAGTAAATTCGTTCCAAACAAATCCTCTTGCTAATATTTTTATCAGTATTTCAGCAGTATATATGCCAGTAAAAAGGTATCTGAAAAGGAACGTGTATATTAAAATTATAGAAATAAAACTAGCAATGAGATTGAGGCATATTTCTACTTTTTCTATGTTTTAGCCACTGGATGGAGATGAAGGTAGAAAATGTGAAGTAAAATGGGACAGGTGACATTACTTTCAGAAACATCATGGGTGTAAGAAGATGCCTTCCTGAATTTTAATATGATTTCCATGTAAATCTATAATCACAAATGTTCATATAAGCACACCATACTATTTCTGGATGAAGGATAGCTCATATTTCCATATGAAAAATTTTAAGACTGTGTTTATGTTCTAAAGCAGGCTGGAAAATTTCAAAGCCTCAACATTTTGGCAGAACAATAATAGCAAAGACTTATTTTAGCCTGTAAAGGTTGTACATTTTATACATTTGTTCTCACAAATACTCTATAACTGAAAGAAATTCTACATAAAATTAAGCTATCATTATCACCATGCGTACTCTAAAAATAAGAGGAATTAAAATTATAGAACATCTGAGGCCCCAGGCACATTTTCAAGATTAATTCCAGAACATAACTCAAGTTATACCGGTACAAATGGTACTGGTTACAAATGGTAACAAGTCATTAGGAATAGATGGCTTCCTAATGTGAACAACTGGACTAGGGGAGTCTCCAGGAAACAGCAAGAATGGAATGAATATTTATCCCTTTATACTTTTTGCATGAGCTGGCCATAACACATTCAGGTTATTGCCTTAGAATGAGAGATATTAAGTTAGAATCCTGCTGCACAGTCTCTCTAAAAGGCTTAATCCTTAACATTAAAAATGGGGCAACCTTCGATGTTTCACCAGATGGCAAAATTAGCCAACGTAGAGAAAAGGGCATATGGTGTAAGCCTCTAAGAAAAGGCACTGAAGTTCCACAGAAGACTCTGTAATACAATAATAATCTGAAATCTTCCTCAGAGGTCAGTCTGAAAATTTTCAAGCTCCAGAATCAGATCACCACATTATTTAATTTTTTTCAGTCCAGCATGTTAGTATCCTTAGAAAAAGTGAACAAATGGCAACTGAGATACTTACTCAGTCCAGCTGAGTGCTTCTGGAAGCCTATTTACAGCCATGGAAGCACAATTGAGTATCACAGTACATGTAATAAAGCCAACAAATAATGTGAATAATAAGTTAAGGAAAAAGTGCTGTATTATAAAATAATGAAGTTCAGAAGAGTTGCTGATTTGCACGCAAAAAACCATACAGATATTCAAATAATTACTTTGGTTGAATATGCTCAGGACCTTTCATGTGTTTTCCAAAGAAACCAATGTCAGATCAAACTTCTGCTCAGCTGGGTAAACTTCATGATTTAAAAATAACAAAGAATTATCTACATGTGGAGATAGTTTTGGAAGTTAGAATATAAGTGGGATATAATATGTTTGACAAAAGAGATGAGGAACATTATAAATGAAAAAAAACCCTGAGTGCTCTGCTGTCTATTGTTACTTGAAACTTTAGAAACTTCCATTTCTTCCCAAGAGGAGCATAGAATAAAGAGAAATGGGCCACCGCCCCATAATAACTAGGGGATTTGAGCCTAGGATAAAACAGATGACAATACTTAATCATCAATAACCAGTGTTCTTTGAAAATAGGAATCCATATATACATTCTTAAAGAGAAGCCTGCATTCTGCCACGAGTTCAGAAAACTTCCTCATTTTATGTGGCAGGTGATGAAAACATACATGAAAAACTGCCGTGGTTTCACGAAAGTTCACTTGTCACTTAATAAAAGTGGTTTGGGGGTTTTTTTTTAAAGAAACATTGGCCTTAAATTTAGGGTTTATTTGAAACTGAATAGCAAATTTAGTAATTTCTAAACATGAATACGCATTCAAAGTCAGCCAAAAGTTCCCATAAAAGGACCAATTTCTACAAATCAATAATTCCAAATGAAAACAGATGTTTGGTAGAAAGAACAGAAACTATTCAGCCTCTGGTTTTGCACCTGCGACCCTTCACATTTTTACATTCTTCAAACCACATTTATATTCTTGCAAAAATATAAAAAATGGGAGCTCTTCAGAACGTTCCAAACTTGAGTCTGAAATACATTTCTTAGGATAATATCAGACTCTTTCAGCAAAGCGTTGGCATAAATCTCATCCTTCATGTTTTAATAACTAGGGAGTCACTGGGTTTTTTATGTTTGTTTGTTTGTTTGTTTTTTAATTTAAGCTTGTCACCACAGTAGAGATCTAGAAAAAGTTCTGGAAAAGGACTAAAATATCATACATTAGCCTCTAAATGTTGTTTCATAACAACATGTGCAAACTTGACTTGAAACCTGAGCTTTTTGACATTTTTTACTTGTATCAACATTGTGTAAATATCTTAGCTGCAGTAAAACAAAATTCAATATAACTTTTTAAAAATGTCTATCATCACAGCCATATGAGCTTACATTAATACGAACAGACGAACGGAATGACATAAAATGGTACAGTATTTTTTAAAACTGAAATAAAGGAAACCAATAAAAGGATATGAATGGATCAGAATTTTAATTGCTGCTTTTCTGATTGGATTAAAAGGACCAACTATACACAAGGCAGGCGTGGCAGTAAACCGGAAGATAATCCTCCTTTTATTTATCACCATAAAAGTCTATAAAAAAAAATATTCATAGTATGTGAAATATTTTAATGAAACAAAATTTTCCCCCAAAGCTTAAATGTTTAGGTTTTCAAATCTGCATCTAGAACTATATCTAAATGCAATTACGAGTAAAGCTTTCCTGTATTCTTAGTTGGAGCTGTGATCTGATGATACCAGACTTTGAAAGAAAGCCATCAGCTATGTAAAAGTTCATTATTACCTGTGAGGAAGAAGTAGTAATGGCAATGAACTTGAAGAGCAAGTGATCGTATTCACTTGCTCAAAGTAATTAAAGGATACTAGTCTGGGACTGCAACAAGGGTGTTAATCATACTCAAAAGTACCTTACTCTCGGATAGTTTTATAAGTTACACAAGATTATTTACAAATATATATTGCGTAGGACTGCCAGAATCCAGTCCAGTCAAAGCAAAAAATTTAATTTTGAAATACCTCTACATTATCAAGTAACACTGTAAGTTCCCTCTAAGCTACCTTAAGGTCCATGCAGTGCTTTTGCCACGTGAAGTAAAAATGAAATCTCTGAAATCAAAATCACAGTTCACTAACTTTTATGTAAATTTCTTCTATTGAATCAGCCTTAGTTTCTCTTCATCAAGAATATGGCTTTGATTACTTTGAGGAAAAAACCTCTCTGGAAGAACAAAGCTTTCTGCATGTTTCTGATTAAATTATTATATTCTAGTGATTTGCTGGTATACATAAAAGACAGCAACATAGAACTGGATGAACCCTTCTGCTCTCTGGGTCAAGCCCCCCTCAATACTAAGCAGTCATACAACAGAGATTTCATTTAGAAGGGATTCCTAGAGCATCTACTTTACACACTCCTACAGGCAACAACACCAACCACTTTAAATGCAATATAAATATGGTACAATAAACAAAGCTGATGAGACATAAAATATCAGAAAATGTATTTACTATTATGAAAATCTGGTTTTGCTACACAGAGTACTGGAAATATCTCAAATATGTCTCTTCTAATTTGTCTAATATTTGTAATTCAGCAAAAACATCTGCAGTAAGTCAGCAATTCCAGCGTGACCTGTTTGACAGACACTGTTTAGAGGACAGTGAGTTCAGGCCCACAGACATCACAGAAACTATTCTGGAAAACAAAACATCAATTATCCCATAATATATTTCCTATCAAAGTGTATCTATCAAGTGTATCATGTTTTCATAATTAATTCTGATTGCTGACTGGAACTTAATATATGTTTTAATTACATAATATGAAGCATACCTTAGCACTCTTGCCCCAAAAAACACCAGTAATGTTCAAAGATCTATCTATAGAACAATCAAAAATTAACATCTCCTGAAGAGAGCTTTTACTACCTCTTAAGAGTTCAGCAGACAAAATCAAATTAAAAAATGCTTTTGAAAGTTTTAACCTTGTGATCACTGTAATATGGATCAAAATCTTCCAGGGGTTCCCCAATGAGCTCCACAGGAAGATCCCCATACAGAGATGGCAGTTTTTTGCAGGTTTTCAGATCAAGCTGAGGAGTAAGTTTATCTTCTTCAACTCCTTGGCCCTTATTCTCCCGGCTAACTTTGGCTTGTTGCTTTTTTTTCTTAGCAATTCTTTCCTCAATTGCTGCCAAGGACTCAGGTGTGAAACGTCGAAAGCTGTTAGCTTCTGATGGCCAAAACAAGCTATCCATTTTTCTTTGTATATGTTTGTTTCCAGTGCTAGAAGTAACTTAAAAGAGAAAGCTATTGAGAATTAGAAAATAACAGAAATAATACACAACTTAAAACTAATACTCATTAGATAAATTATTTCTTCCTTCTGTGAAACCCTGTATGAAAATAGGATAGGATAGGATAGGATAGGATAGGATAGGATAGGATAGGATAGGGTGGGGTAGATTATTTCAGTTGGAAGGGACCCACAATGATCATCTAGTCCAACTGCCTGACCAAGTTCAAGCATGTTACTAAGGGCATTGTCCAAATGCCTGTTAAACCCTGACAGGCTTGGGGCACCGACCACCTCTCTAGGAAGCCTGTTCCAGTGCTCGACCACCCGCTCAGTAAAGAAAGGCTTCCTAATGTCCAGTCTAAACCTCCCCTGGCACAGCTTTGAACCATTCCCACGTGTCCTATCACTGGGTGCCAGGGAGAAGAGCTCAGCACCTTCCTCTTCGCATCCCCTCCTCAGGAAGCTGTAGAGACCCATGAGGTCACCCCTCAGCCTTCTCTTCTCCAAACGAGACGCTTCTTCTCCCCAAACGGAGACAACCCCAAACCCCCCAGCCACTCCTCACAGGACATTCCTGCCAGCCCTTTCACCAGCTTTGTTGCCCTCCTCTGGATGCATTCAAGGACCTTCACATCCTTCTTAAATTGTGGGGCCCAGAACTGCACGCAGTACTCCAGGTGAGCCCGCACCAACGCTGAATACAGTGGGATAATCACCTCCAAACCCACTGACTGTTATGCAGAATTTAAACAATCTAAAGATGCCATAAAGGACTACTACAAACCAAATAATCAAGTAAAGTTGGTATCGTCCTCCTCACAACTGCACGTCAATCAGAAGATTATTAATTCTCTCCTAGAATTTAGCAGGTTCCTTAACGCTTCGTGACTCCACACCAGAGTGTCTGCTGTTTCTAGAGATCTTGGTTATGTCTATTTGTTTAATAACTTTTCCACACATCAGAGGAAACAAATTTAACTACTATTAACTACTTGGATTTTGATCCAAGTCATTGGCTTTTTTTTTTTTTCTGACA